TCAAAACACAAAACACAAAACTCAAAAACAAAGAGAACAGCCCCTTAGTTTCTGTATTATATGATTTTCTGTTGCTGATTTTGCCTACAATGTGCATTACATCTATGTTTATGTACACAGACCAATTTCAAGAAGTAAAAAAATCTCTATTTCCAATCGAACTGGATTATTAACTTCAGACTTTACTGAGATTTCGACACCTCCAATCTAGTAGAATCTTGATCTTACCTGGAATTAACATCATAATAGAGCTCTGTGAACTTTATGACATGATTCTGGAAAAACAAACTGAGTTCATACATCTGAAGTTTACTCGGACAGATGGCGTTCCTCTAGACCAAGCTACCGTCATTTGAAGAGCTCTGAAGATAGGCGTCCTAAATCATTTCCGCTTAGGATCTCTCCTGTGAACAAAGCCTGCTAGATGTCTAACCACAATTTCAGACATCATTCCTTGACCTCTAATTACTTATATACATTTAAGTATTCCGAAACACGTTTGGGTAGTAACATTTGATAAAACTTCTTCTAGATTGATCTCTCTCATCATCTTAGACTCATTTTCTTTATTGTTTGCAACCCATTAGGTCTATTACCACTTGGCTGCAGAAAGTAACACTAATCTTGTTTAGCATCACAAGAAACTGTTTCCCACGTCCTTTGCTTAAGAAAAATGATCCAACTTTTATTTGAGGTTTCTAAGTATCTTGTAAATCCAAGTATGCACTACGCATATGAGGACTCTGAAATTCAGTCCTTCTATCATACAATGTTCCAAGTGAATGTTGTTCATGTTACATGTCAAATCTACTAATGGACAATGGTATGAGAGGACCAGACTTTCCTTATCTTGGCCAATTCAATTATGGTGATAAATCCCTTGTGCACTTGGATGCCTACGTTTATGAAAGCACAAATCTTTGGTTAGAGAAAACCATTATACTTATACACTATAGTAGGGATTCCACACAACCATGCTGCCTCAGGTCCAAGGATCATATGCACAACTTTTGGAATAATTTATCGACAACGTTTGAAATATCGTTGTGCCTAGTTCAATGAACTCATTATCTGACAAGCACCATGATCACTCTGATATCCCTGTCGATTCTGTGAAACTTATCGTCCTATCTAAAGAAGTTGTATAATGTACTAGCAATTACTAGATAATTGGAGCCCAGTTGACTGTTCTGAGACCATGAACCTTTTCATTATCCAATGTCAAGAAATGCATGTTTCCTTTCTTAACATGTATCTCCTGAAACTTAGATCTATCAACTTATTGATAAAACATAACAATGAAATATGAACGAGAGCATCTTGCCCAATGATGAGTTTTAATAATGGTAGAAAGTTTGCTTAGAAATGCCACGTGATCGGCTTTAGGACATATATGATACAGCAAACAAGAATAACCTAATGAAAATAGTGCAGCACAAGTCGAAAGCCATTGTATACGACTAGTAAACTGGATATTCGTTAAGCTAGCCTAAATGAATTTTTTTAGATAGTACATTCTATAATTAAAACAATCTTATAAGCACCAAGGATTTGAGAATTTGAGATATTTCAGGAGCTGCAATATAATTTTTTTTTATCTTGGCATGTGTTATCTTCTTCTCTCTTACATAGTGATTTGCATGTCATTTAGCTTTTTGTGAAATTGAATATCTAATATGGTACCTACTTTTGGACAGGCATTAAATGAGGATGATATAGTTGCTGGAAATTATACAGTTGATGATATTGTACTTCCTTTGCCTGGGTAAAATAATCTGACCTTGTACTTAGGTTGAACTGCTAATCCAATTTCTTTTCTTTCTTTCTATTTTTTCAGTCAATCACACATTCATTTTCTTTTCTTTTTTGTTTGTTGGAGGAAGGGGGAGGGTTGGTGACTTGGTGTTATATGTAGTTTTCTGTGGTTTCTTTGACAATGCTTTTACTGCAGGTCAAGGGTTATTTATCCACTGAATGATATTGGGAAAGTTTATCTGGACTTGGCAAAGAAGGTGAGGTTCTCTATAAACTATTCATTGGCTTCTACATTTGATCTCCATATATATATTTGGTGCATGTATATGTTTAAGGTGACTGATATTATAACTAAGGGTATGTTCGTCAAGGTGTTTATGAATAGGTAAATGAGTGGTGGAGAAATGACTAGACTTATAGGTCTTAAGAAATGTGTGAATGAAAAGTAGATTGACCAAGTGTTTTTTGACCGAGGTGTTTATAAACACCATAGAAACACTTGTCCCAACATATGCAAAGATAAACCTGTAGCTGTTTGCACTGCTTAATTTCACTTTGACATTTATTAGTCATGTAAGAAGTCCAATATCAATTTGCTTTGTTCCAGATTTAATTAAATGGGATAGGCATGCATAAGCAGTCGCCAAGTGTCTGGTACCCACATTATCATTGTTAAGATTGTCTCTTCTCATTCTTATTAGTTTGTTAATTATTATTATTTTTTTTAAATTTTGAGACTTCTCATCAAAAAGCCTGTTCAGTACACGGATGGAGTGGCTCGTCGTTTGCTTTCTTAGTGATTTTAATTAGTGCACATCATTCTTTCTGAATTTAATACATCAAGGTTGAAACCAGAAACCTTACAGCACTTTGAGGCATTAAGACAGGATAACAGAAGAAAATCTGACTATTGCTCTGCAAGTGTTGTAAGGTTAGGTCATCATCTAGTCCTTCATTGACCCGAAATATTATTTTCTAATAGCATCTTTGGGACTTGTTTATAGACAATCTAAATTAAAAAAAAAGATAGAAATTTGTAGTGGATAAGTGGATAGTATTTGTGGGTCCCACGAAATTTGTGGATAAATATTGGTTTGACAGACTATAAACAGATTATAAACAATAGCTAAACAAGGGCTAAATGTTCTTCATCACTGTGCTGTTTAAGATAAATTTAATTGGAAATGATCAGCTGTTATAAAGTAGATGGAGCCTCCATTTATGACAGAGTTGTTCCATTCTACAAGATATTTTTCATATTGATACCTGAATTCTTTATTTATTCTGAGTCAAAAGAAAATGTTACCATCTTCTCCAAGAACAATTAAACACACCCTTCTTTTTTTGAATAGGTTAAAAAGCCTGTGTTTTAGAATTCTAGCTCATGACTGACCTACAGTCATTGACTGTCTCTGTCGTATTCGTGCTTTGAACAAGAATCATTCATGTTTTAGCCATACGATTGCATTGTATGCTAACAACATAGGTACTTTTATGAGACAGCATCAGGGAGGTTCCAGTTAATTTTGTCAAGTGAATGTTTTACAATAGTGAACTGGATTCACAGTTGTATCCCTGATTTTCCAACAAAATAATTACTTAATCACCTTCACATAATGGATATCATTGTTTGGAAAATGATTTTCGGTGAAAAAGAGATTCTTCACTGGTTTTTTTAGTAGAATATGATTTCGACCATATGAGATTTTGAGGTCGAGTTATGAGTAATTGCGGTGTCCAGTTTATCTATTTGACTTATTTTAGGGTCATTTCTTCCTCACTGAAGATCGCAGAGATTACTTTTAACTTCACCAGCCATTCGTAGCACTCCCACTACACACCAGATAATATACTTTCTCTCATGAATAGATAATTGAGATACTACAATAAAATTTCAATTTGATTAATTCAACTTTTACAGATTTCAATCTGGCCATACAAGAAAGTAAGGTTAAGCTAGGACATTTTTATGCTCATATGCTGTATCTGTGCAATTTCTTCTTGTTGCTTTTAGATAACTTCCTTGTAATGCACCACTAACATACATGTACCAAACTGGGAGCAATGCCTGTAGTATACCACCTTCAAATACTAGTAACTCAGCTGTAAATACAGTATTTTAAAAAACACCATGAAAATGCTGATCTGAACCTTTCTTCAGTGAAAAAATGCTGTCATTTTCCTTGATTCTTTCTTATTCTTCAAGATGGAAATCCGAACAATGAAGACAGAGAATAGCCTCCCGACCATAATTCATCTTTCCAATTTAAGCTTCATAGAAAATTTCGAGTCTTTCTAGGTTCTTGAAATATATCTTTGCTATTCCCAACTATGCTATAACTAATCAAAAGCCTATTTGATATCAACTCTGTTTAGGATTGTGGTGCTGTTTTTGGTTGTCAAGTTTCAAGCAATTTGGGTAAATCTATTCAATGTTAAAGTTGTGTGTAGAATATTGTTTTGAATAAAAAGGGTATTCAGGTAATTCTTTTTGAGAATATTAACGGTGTTGGAAGAAGGGAATGATGAGCTAGGAAAAATCATGTAGAAGCCTTTTAGCTGATTTAGAAACAGAAAGTGTTTATAGTACTTTCTGATATTATAGGTGTTTTTTATACCCTTAACCTTTCCTTTTCTGCTAATTTACCCATGTTTACTTGCTAGGATGATATCAGCTTGACGGAGAGTGCACACAATACAAAGTAAGTCTCATTACATTATACTTCTCATTCAGTAAATGGATATTCATAAGAAATGATTCTCATTGAAATTGACTTGTGGCCTGTGTATAGCACGATTCGGTCCAAGGGGTTTTTGACTTTCTTCATTTAATCCTTCTAACTTCTTCTGAAAGAGGAAGATTATAGCATACGTAAGGAAGGATTGATTCTTCCCACCCTGCCTCCCATCTCATTTCCAACCAAACAAGGGAGGGAGATCCATTCCTTCCTCCTTCCCCCTGTGGTGTGTGTTAAAATCCATGATGCCATGACCTTGATTGGCTAATTTCACTATCATGTAGAATCTTTTTGGTACAGTTTAATTAATTTGCAATGGCTTCCATATTAGATTCACTGAGGTCGTCGCATCCATTGATTACTTTCAAATCATTGTTACTACATTTTTGTTGGCAAGTATGCTTAATGATTTAACCCCTGCAACTACTCCTCTTAGGGAGTTCTCGATAACCAATATGACAGGATCCTACAGGCGGTTATTTCAAAAGCCTAAAGATTTTGAATGGTAGGTTTGACCCTCACATTTTGATTCTCATTTGGATCTGTTGGTTGCTGTCAGTGTTGAAACTTTGTTTTTCTTTCTTTCTTGGTCAGGGAATTAGTCAAATACACTGATAGAGATATGCCATTGGCAAAAACAGATTGGGACATTATTGCTAATTCAAGGCCAGCAACACTGGGCTGCGATAAAAAGTCGGCTGCAATGATTCAACTTGATTCATTGCCCAAATTGGATAAGTTTGAAGATGCTACTGAGGCTTCAATAGAAAACGAGGGTACAGAAAATGAGACAGGAGGGCTAAAACTGGAGGAAACTATAAATGGCCCCACATCACAGGAGAACCAAACGGCTCTCAAGTTGAGCTTTACCCTGCCAGCTTCTAGCTATGCAACTATGGCCATAAGGGAGCTGCTAAAAACATCTACCTCTGTATGTATTAAAGACAACCTGTTCTTTAAAGGGATCAATTTGATGCATTATGCTATTGAATCGTCATATTCATCAATTTTATTTATTTATTTAGGTGACATGCATACGCTGTGCAAGTAATACCTCCTATGTTTAACAGGTTGCATTTCACAAGGCATTAAACCTGTGAGCACGTTCCCAGACTTTGGAATAATATGAGGCTTTCTGGAAGGAAGCTTCTTCACTCACGAATGATGTTATTCAATAGATACAGTGATCAACTCCATGCTTAGGACTAATGTTGGAAGGCAATAGAGCTCAATGGTAAGTAGTTCAGTTGCAATTTTGTAGTATAGAAATCAACAGGGATCCCCATTCCTCCGCCCTTCCCTTGATACCCTGAATAACTCTGGAATCCCCGTCCCAGTAGAGGGGGGGGGGGGGGGGGGG